TAAGACTCTGAGCCAGCACCACTGAGACCCTTGGCTCCACGTGTGGGCACCAAGCCATAATTAAACTGGGTTCTCAAGGGCAGTGAACCTATCGGTCTCAGTCTGGCCACTAGCGGATGGATTCCTCGCTTAATTTGGCATATTCCAGTGATGGAAATACAAACTAAAATGTAATGTATCCCTACGCATGAAACGCTGTTGCACGGCAGGTCGGTTTGTCCCTCGTGTGGAAATCCGCTGCTGGATGAAGAAGACCCCGCCTGCGCTGTTTCCTCTGGTGGCGCTGCGTTGCCGCTCGTACAGAATACACGCTGAGAAAATTATAATAATAATAATAAACATTGCTCAAATAGATTTTAATAAATAACCGTGAGAAAAACATTTGGTGGTAGTGCAGCGGTTCGCTCATTGCACGATAAACCCATTAACCTGCGATTGATTCCTGGCAAAGGCTAACATCACTGGTGAGCGAAATATTAATCGGTCCCAGGCATCTTCTTCACCAACTCGCTATAACCACCTTGGGGGAAGTATAGTCAAACAACCCCTATGACGAAATAATACTAAACTATTTTCACTTTACCAGGTAAGCTTCAAAGATCTTTTTCTGAAGCGACCTGGCCACAAATGATAGCTCAACGAAGTGGCTTATCGTGTGGAAATGTATAGCAGCCAAATACTCGAAATGCGTGTAGATTATAAATGTGGAGGGGAAACACGGAGGACCCAGAGAAAAATCCACGCGACCACGGGCAGAACATGCAAACTCTAAATATACAGCAGGCATCAGGGTCAGGATCGAACCCACGACCTCCTGCATACCAGGCGAGGTAGTTAACATCTCGCCACCGTGATGTCCCTAATGGCATGGGTACGCCTCTATCCGACAGTGGATTGACGAAGGGCCATAAATGATCTTTATTATTATTAACACATGTCATACTCTGAAAGAAAAAAAATCTCGGCACAATCAGAAAAATGGAATGGATTCCCGTGCATGCCTTCCATTTAATATCGCGGCTCACGACTTCAATAGCTCACCGTCACTCTTGCACAATTGATTCAAAGCACGTCACTGCCAAGGTGACTTGTCCTGACGTGAGCTATTGTTCTTGCATACGGGGTGGGGGAGGGGGTGGGGGAGGGGGTGGGCGGGGGGTAAATATCCGTTGTGCTGTATTTGAATCCCTCCACCCCCACTCCCTCGTCACCACCCACCTCTGCCTGCCGGCAAGAGGACAATTGTGGCTCTGCGACCGCGCGTCATCGGTCACCACGACGCCCCGCACGCTTCTGGATGACTTGAGTCACGTGGACTCACAATGGGCCGGTATTTGTTTAAAACAAAACAAAGAAACCAGCGGCAAGTTCATCGTCAGCCGTGCCCCATCCGCTTTCTGGACATCTGTGAAGAAAACAAAACGCTTCATGGCTCGTCGGAATCCTCCAGCATAAATACGTATTCTGATTCTGAATTCACCGCCGAAAAGAGGTCTTCCCACGTCATGGCCTCGAATTCAGCCCGCCGATCCCGTAACTCCGTCTGCGTGGTGATCGCGAATCTTGGGCCCGTTCATTTTCTCACCCTTTTTTCAGCTATTCCATCATCAGTCTCCTCCATAGGCCATCGTCCGTTACATAAACCTATCCAGTCTTGGCCCAATTACTTTTCGCAGTTGTCAATATGACGTATCGAATATTCGTTTGTTATTTGATCCATGTATTCCTCTCTCTGTCCCTCGGTGTATTTCCAGCATGCATCTAGCCATACATCTCTGTCCACTTTTCAGCTTTCGTTCCGTTTTGTTTTGTTGACGTCGATTTTCAACAGCAAGTCACCTTGATGGATGTACAGTCGGCATGTAACAACGCATCAATTCGTTCATTGCATTAAAATTATATGCATGCTGATTTAAAGCTTTCGTGACTGCAGTAATTCATATTCTTAGCTCTTTCGGTAAAGTCACGTTGAAGGGAAACAATAAAATAATAATATATATAAAACAATAAAAATTCTCACGACGTTTCGACCATAACACAAACGGTCGTCATCATTATTGTTTCTCTTCAACGTGACTTTACCGAAAGAGCTAAGAATATATATGCATGCTGTTCGTTCATCGAATTGTGTGCGTAGGAACCGATCGTTTTCGATTGGTATTTGTTGCACTTAATGGGTTCGGCTGACCCCTGCAGCCACTAGAGGCCGCTACACTCACCACAATTGAGTCTCGAATCAATTCCACAATGAAGGCGTTATTGGGTTAAATATAAATGCGTCGTTAAACCCGCCACCAGCCGATACAGCCAATTAATAAGGGTTGTCACGTAAACAAAACGTGCCAATGAGTTACGAGTTCAGCACGCCCGGTGCGTTGGAGCGTAAAACCCGCAGCATCAACCAGAATCGTGGATAATCATCGGGAGTGGTGAATCGCGATGGGCCAGATTTTGTTTTGCAGTGTTCAATCTGCATACTCGACACACACGGCCGCACGTATGAAATATTGCAATGTGTATTCAAATCAAAGGGTACGCTTCGCGTTAAATGAATGGTTACATTATCCAAACAAACGTCACAAGGGTCGTGATGTAAACTCAGCTTTTTTATTTTACAAACATAAAAACATCAGAATATTACATCTAAAAACAACGTATTATTTTACCAGGTAAGGCCCACTGAGCTAAAAAGCTCTTTTCAGAAGCGACCTGGCCACAAATGATACCTCAACGAATTGGCTTATCACGTGGAAATTTATAGCAACCAAATACTCTAAACGCGTGTTTCCAAACGCGGAGGGACACTCCGGAGGACCCGGAGAAAAATCCACGCGACCACGGGGAGACGGACACGCAAACTTCAAATATACAGCAGGAGTCAGGGGTGAAAGCGATTTCATATAAGGTTACCGAACCTCCACCACCCCCCCCCCCTTCACATCAAACGCGATAACCTTGACCTTGACCTAATGCCTCTCGTTTTCAGAAAATTTCATTTCCACAAAGGTCGCAATCCAAGGTTGGAAGGCGTTCGCGGGCACCCTGACCTCGGCGCAGTTTTCCACCTCGACGTGAAATTATTACGGCCAAGTGAAATCATCCATTGCGGTCATTTTTTGTTCCCTCGCAAATACTTGGCACGTGACATCCAATCAGCGCCAGGGTATTTATAAAACATGAATTTTATATGACTATAATAACGAGACTGTTACCAACGATGTAGGATAGTAAATAAGCAATGACCTATATATTACATTCGGCTCGATTACCGGAGGAGAATAACTCCCAGAAAGATTGGAAGTCACTTATAAAATAATAATGTCTTTAAAATTTAAGGATCACAAGGTGCTTTTAGCTCAGCCACGTGCATTCCCTTTGCGCAATTTGACTTGCGTTTAATTCCACATTTGTGGCGCTGGGCTTGTACAGCTTCGCCAAATAAATCTAACGCGTTCGGAGGAAATCCGTCATTCCGTTTGTTGTGTCAGATGGAAGTGAACAATCGCTAAAGTCAAACCATTCATTGAATCACCTACCCTTTAATAGGTATATGAATATCTGCAGACATGATGTTCCAGTGTGAGTTTACAAGACAGCGTTGTTGACATTCGGAATTTTTGGCTGACTTTGTTGATTTTTGTTGTGTTTGTTCTGCGTGGTGTTTAACGATAGTCTAAGTATTAATTCTCGAGAAGCGTTCCGACGTTTAGCGCTCCTTTCTTCGTGACCCTGCAGCAGTGCAGTGTGGGAGAGAAAGAGAGAGTTAAGTTGTCGAGAAACTTTTTTCGCCAAATGTAAATTTTTACTTCCACTATTGCTTGGTTCAGGTCTACCACCCGCATTGAATGCTGTCCTGTTGTTAATTGAGCAGACTATGTAATGGCATTTGACGTAACGTGCGAGCTTGGTAACAACCCATGCCACAGATGAGGGCGAATCGATCTTTGTCAAATCTAAAACCAATCATGAAACTGCATTGCATGAGTGTTACCTGAACCCTCATTAGACTTTGCCGGTGAACAATTAACCATTAATTTACTAGGAAAATGTGAAAATAAAAAATTTGTCTCGGGCAGACAAAAGTTGAAGTTCGTATTCGAAGGGCAATGTCCCAAGTCACTCGCCACAGGCACTTAGCGATGGGACTGGGTTCATCGTGCAGTGAGAGATGCGTTTCGACGTTTAGCGCTGATTCAGCTGTCGGCAAATTCCTTCCTTAGTGCCGCTGTAAGCAGTGCATTGTGGGAGAGAGAGAGAGAGTGATGTTTTCGCAAAAAACTTCTTTCACCAAACGTCAATTTTCATTTAAAGACGAAAAAACAACAACAACAACTTTCAGCTTCCAAGGGCTGTAAAACATATTGACGTTGTTTACAAGGGTGAGCCGTCGTAGCGCTTCTGCTGTCATGCTCCACGACACGACCCAGTAAATTATGGGCAGCGACTGCACCTTTATTGCTTCGCAGGAGCGCGAGAGATGGCAGCGGAGCCGGTGGAGGCATTCACCGAGCAGTGGATTGAGCATGGCCCATGATGATGATGATGGCTGTTCTATATGTCATACATCATGTTCTGGTGCGGGGCTTTCGTCGAGGCTGCCTTCATGCTGCCACGTCGAACACGTAGTAGGCTTTCGCGACCAATATCATCCGTAATACTGTATAGGGTCGTTTTTTTTTGGGTTAGATCGCGTAAATGTGTCGTCAAAACCCGCCACCACACGACACAGCCAACTAGTAAGGGTTGTCACGTAAACATAACTTGCCAATGTCACTAGTACAGCACAACGGTGTGTTGGAGAGCCAAGCCACAACGGAATAGGAAGAAACTCTAATGAAGTACACGTATATGCGCGTACGTCATCGGAACGGGAAAAGGGTTAACGGAGCGCCGGCAACAACGATAACGACGACGCCACTGATTAAACCGAGCCGGCGAGAGCGGAGAGAGAGACGCACGTCGAGTGATTCGTCCCCCGGCTCGTCGCCCCCACGCCCCAGGCCGCGAGGCCGGGCCGGAACAGACCCTGCGGCCGTGCTGTCTGCAGTACGCGGAGCGCGCCGAACCGGACGGGGACCCAGGCGGAGGCCTCAACGGCCGCGAGGGCCACTACGGCGCCGCCGACGGGTGGAGGCCCCCCCTCGACGCCTGCTTTGACTTCGTGAGTGGAGACGCTCGCCATCTCCGTTTTGTATATACACATACACACACACACGTGTTTGTATATACACATATACACACACACACGTGTTTGTATATACACATATACACACACACACACACGTGTTTGTATATACACATATACACACACACACGTGTTTGTATCCAGTATCTTCATTCCTGCATCGCGCGCTTTCAGGTGCCATTCTGCGGCCGTCTGGAACGCTCGCTCTTCCTTCCGATACGTGTGTACGGTACCTGGGACCTCTTTCGGCACCGCACGTGGCCAACCGCACGAGCCGGAGATGCGGGGGAAGGACAACAAAATAAACACAAAAAGCGGTTCTAAAGCAATGAGCTTTCAATCTCTATTTGAAAGTGCATAGCTCCAGCGGTTGACTAATATCGGAAGAGCGTTCCAGACGTCCGTGGAGGCGCTTCCGAAAGCGCGCGATGCGGCGGCCATCTTTGTTCGATTGTTAGCCAAAAGCTGCTGCTGCGATGGCCAGAGTTCACGTGGTGTGATGGTTTATGCTCCTTGACGAGATCAGCGAGGTGTCGTGGTTGTACATCCGCATGCGACACGGCCGAGCAGCACCGGCATTTAGACAGAACGCGCACGCACACCTAAACATGCGTGCGCCTGTGACCAAGCCACCCGGAACGCGCCCCAATGTCGGAAGCTAAGCAGGCGGGGGGCTGGGCAATGCTTGAATGTGCGACGACCGTGCTCGCGACACAGGTGTTATAGGCTGCTGTGGGCGGCAGCAGCAGCGGAGGGCAGTGCGCGTATTCGCAGGGTTGCAACAAAAGTACAGGCAGTGCCACTTAAGAACTGTGAAGGAAGCCAATCAATATCGGTCGTCTCCCAACTAGAGGCTGGCCACTGCCATGGGAATGTGGAATTTCCACCACTGCTTGGTTCAGGTCTACCAACCGCATTGAATCCCATCTCCTGTTGTCAATTGAGCAGACGGATGTCGCGGCATTTGACGTAACGTGCAGGCCAGTACCAAGACGGATGTGAATTGATCTTTATTACATCTAAAACTAATAATGAAACTGCACTGCACGAGTGTGACCCTGACAACCTCGTTAGACTTTTTGGCGGTGAGCAATTTTTTTCCGTTTCATTTTCTTCGAAAAATATTTGAAAGATTAAAAAAACCAAAATCACACACACGTTTCCTACGCGGACAGAAGCTCAAGTTTGTCACTTGAAGGCCGAGCGTCCGCGAGTCCGAAATTGCCGCAGGGGTTCAGCCGTGCCACACGGGGCGCACGAAACCGGCGGCGGTCCCCGACCACTGCGCCACCGCCTCCACGCGCCCGAGCGCTGGCCCCGTCACCTCGTGAATAATGAAGGTGACGCAACACGCGCCCAGCCGCCTCTTACAGCTGCACGCAGGCGCGAGACGTACACGGCGCTGCGTCAGCACTCAAACTCCCGGTCTCCGCTCATCGTCCGCCGAGCGGGGGGGTGGGGGGGGGGGAGTAACTCGGGGGGGGGGTGAGTAACTCGGGGGATGGGGGTGGGGGTGGGGGTGAGTAACTCGGGGGGTGGGGGGTGAGTAACTCGGGGGGGGTGGGGGGGAGTGAGTAACTCGGGGGGGAGTGGGGGTGAGTAACTCGGGGGGTGGGGGTGAGTAACTCGGGGTGGGGGTGAGTAACTCGGGGGGGTGAGTAACTCGGGGGTGGGGGGTGAGTAACTGGGGGGGGGGGGGGGCAGCAGCAGTCGCCGTCAGCCGCCCTCGACAGGGGACACGGTGGTGTAGCAGCAGCAACGTCGTCAGCCCGGGGGGCGGGGGGGGTTGCGGCAATCGCTTTAGGTGGAGGCCCCAACATTTGATTCGTCTCGCACGGTCGCACCCGCCCAGGCTGTTCTGCATCGCGGCTCCTCCTGCCAGCTCACGTCGTTCAGCATTCTCATAAGAGAAACGTTTTAAACCGCGTTTGAAATAAGTAAGTGTTTTGTTATTATTACTTCCCCCACCCACTGTTGTTGAAAACACATCTCACGGTCTGTTTAACACGTGGGGTACCTCATGGTGATCGTCAAGGGGGCCCCAAACTCGTAGCTTTGCCCCCCCCCCCCCACGCTACGTTACGCTACTGCCGAGAAGTGACGCTGAAGGAAGCCGGAGCGCTCTCGTCCGGAGTCCCCGTGGGACCTGGCCTGTCCCCTACCCCACCTCACCGCTCGTCTCTCGTCTACAGGCACGGGGCGCGCGCGTTGTCTCGGCCGCACGAGACAACGCCCAATGCCCGCTCGTCAAATACGTTCTGTGAGTGGCAGCCGCTGTCGTCGTCGTCTTCATCCGCCGCGATCTATCGGCTGCTGGACGTAGGGATTTCCAAGCCGTCGACATTGCTCGCGAGTTTACGATGCAGAAGGACATCTAGCTTCCTGCACAAGAGCTGATTCCATCGCTCCACGTGTCTGCTGCGGTGAATGTACTCGAGTGTGTGGCATTGTCGCCCTCACAACAAAGGGCGGAGCGCCGGGCGGATAAAACCCGACGAGTTGGCACAGTAGGGGGCACGGCTGGTGCATCTGCCAGTAATCTCAAGTCGGTCAACCCGTGGCACCTGGGTCTGTCCCGTGACCTCCTGCCAAGCAAGCCTCCGGACACTTCAAGTGGCCTTAAAGTGCACCTAGCCTGGCACAAGCGCCGTGCTGATGTCACCGCCACTTAGTGGTGAATGGCGGTATTCGTTGTTGTGGGCCCTCCTCTGGCCACTGTGGCTCCTTACGATGTATCCTAACCCAAGTGCAGGCTAATAAATATATCATATCAATTGACCGTGTTGAAAATTAAGCGATCTCTGCTGCTGGAAGGGCTGGTGAAAAGTGGCAACAAAAATGAGTTTGGTGTGCAGGGTATCAGGTGGATTGTTACCTCGCAGCTCCATGAGAGATGGTGACGGCTTGGGGAAGCCTTTATCCAGCAGTAGATAAAGCATGGCCGATATTGTAGATGATGATGATGATGAAAAAGAAGCTGGGTATTCCCGCACATTTATTTAGCAAGGAAAACGTTTTCTTTTTACTTATATGTGTCACTGTATAATTATTATTATTGTTGTTGTTTTATGTTATTAGGCGATGGTTTAGGGAAGTTTACGACGAGTAAAAACAAAATCTCATTCTGTTAATGGAAAGTCACCCGTGTACAGCCAGGCTGTATATTCTCTCTCTCTCGATAATGGATCAAACCAAAGCCCTGCGCGGAGTGGCCCGCGATGGCCGTTCGGAACGTTTAAACAAAAATATCTATTTTTAAAAAAATCCGACGTAGTTCATTCAACGTAGAGAGCCTTCCTATGATGCATCGGTTAAAAACGACATTTCCATTGTACAGAAGCTCTGCTTTCCATAACAACAAGAAAAAAGAAGAGTCACGTGCATGGATACAATCATGGCTAATGGAAATTACCTGCACGTGAACCTTTTTTTGCGGACAAAAGACATTTTGATTTTAGCATTGCGTGCAATTCCAGAAGCGGTCGGTTGCGTCCCCAATTGCAATTCTGGGTACGTGTCACGAAGAGCGGATTGCTCGATAGAGCATCAGTTGAGATACGAAAATGTTTATATTTATTTTTCTCGCCTATTGACCCTTCAGAATCATTGCTAACTTATTTGTAGTCTTGGCTTTTTCCGTGTGAGCATGAATAGTGACGGCGGAATTTATTTTTACAAAACGCAAAACAACGTTGGCTTTTTGCTAGCGCTTAAATGCAGCGGAACATTAACGTAACCTGCCTACTTTGTGCAGTTTCCCTTCGATAAAATTCCATGTTACCACGACTAAGTGTTTGAAATAAACTTCCCCATTCAGACACTCACAATCAATATTTCACGATTTCATATTTTTGTCCTCGTGACAAATAATTCCAATTTATGTTACTATATCGCGCACCTTTCATGGAAAGATCACAAATCACTGTCCCCGTGTAAAAATGTCACCGCTCTGTCCACAAAGAGCTCAATCAGGGCAATCAAGAGATACAAAAATAAACTGCCCATGCAAGACAACACACACAAAGTGCTTGCCGCAAATGAACCACAATAGCTTGCTGATCACGTCAAGGAGCATTAAACCTTTGCGCAAACTCCGGTGGTCATCCTCGCAGCAGCAGCGTTTTGGTTGCTGGCCATCGAACAAAGGCGGTCACCGCATCGCGCGCGTTCAGATGCGCGTCTGCGGCCGTCTGGAACGCTCTTTTTTTCCTATATTAGGAAGCCACTGGAGCTATAGCACTTTACTTGGCTCTCCAACACACCGGTTAGTGCTTTACTAGTAACGAATTGGCGTGTTCTGTTTACGTGACAAACCTTACTAATTGGCTGTGTCGGGTGGTGGCGAGTTTAACGACACGATCTAACCCCAAAACAACCTCTATTTTTCGATTTGAAGCTTTCGTGACTGCAAGGATTCATCTTCTTTGGTTCTTTCGGTAAAGTCACGTAGAATGAGAATACAATAATATTGTGTTATTTTATTATTTTATTCTCATTCTACGTGACTTTACCGAAAGAACCAAAGAAGATAAAACCTCTATTATAGATGATATTGGTGGCGAAAGCCTACGTGTTTTATTAAGGGTTGGTGTGCATATATTTGCCTGTGACCAAACCAAACAGAATGCGCGTCGCATCACCAGATCTCCCAAGCTGAGAGGAATTGGCCCTGGACAGCGCTGGGATGTGCGACCGCCAATGCACAAAACAGATTCTATTTCGATTTAAAGCTTTTGTGACTGGTAAGGATTCATCTTCTTGGTTCATTCATTGAAGCGCTGTCGTCCCGACAGTTCTGTTCCTTCACCTGAAGAAGGCTACTTGTGTTGTGGCCGAAACGTCGTGAGAATTTTATTGTCTTATTTTGTTTTATTGTTTTATTCTCATTCTACGTGACTTTACCGAAAGAACCAAGAAGATGAAAACAGATTCTCTTATCGGACCGTGGGGCTTCTGTGGTGGGCAGGAGAGGACAATTCGACGCACCTTCTCCTACCGCGCTTGTACGCCCCCTGCATTCACCAACCTGCGATGTACAGCGTGGTCAAAGTACTGGACAATCAATAAATAAATACCATTCCTACGATCCGTAACAGTCTTAGGGAGGCCCTCGTCTAGCAGTGGATTGGGAAAACAAGCTGTGGACGCATTTAGAGAACAGTCCGTGCACCTCAAATGCCGACCAGTGTGCTGACGGATATATGCCTAAATATTTAAACACCTGACATAAATCGTGCCCCGGGCCTGTTTATAATTCTCACTCTGCGCTCACTCAATACAAGGGTTCAATGAAGGGCATCGCGGAGGCGAGATGTGAACCACCTAGCCTGGTGTACAGGAAGTCGTTGGTTCAAACCCGAAACTGATGCCTGTAAATTTGGAGTTAAACATTCTGATTCTGATATTTGGAGTTTGCATGTTCTCCCCGTGGTCGCGTGGATTTTTCTCCGGGTCCTCCGGTTTTTCCCCACCACTTTTATAAACATGCGCTTATAGTATTTGGCTGCTGCTATACTTTTCCACGTGATAAGCCACTTCTTTGAGCTATAATTTGTGGCCAGGTCGCTTTAGAAAAATAGCTATATAGCTCAGTGGGGCCTTAAAATAAAAATGTTTAATGGCTTCGGTTCATCAGGGAACAACCCAAAGCCACATTTCAATGCGAATGTCCCCCAATCAGGTGTCTGAGCACTTACAATCGGTGAAATATTCAGCACTCCCCTTTGTGGGTCAGATGTTTAATTAAAAAAGTGGCGCCTATAGTTCTTAACGAGCAACGCACCTCGTGGAAAAAAATCCCAATAGAGAGTGGCAAAGAGCCAGCCCAAGCTCCGAGTCCTTAGATCCTTCACAATGAAGGTTGTATAGGTAAGATCGCGTGAATGTAAACGTGTCGTTAACCCACCACCACCCGCCACAGCCAATCAGTAAACGTTTGTCACGTACACAAAACGCGACAATCAATCACTGCATCGGCACACACAACGGTTGTGTTGGAGAGTAAACCCACAACATTTACCATTTGAGTAATGTGACGTTTCGCCGGTGATTACAATCAGCTTCGTCGTGGCGATTTGCCAGATTTGCCAGATTTTCCAGAATTGCCAGATTTGCCAGAATTGCCACAATAAGATCCTGCCACGGTGACGCAGGAAAGGATGCCCTGTGTGGGTGTCAGGGCTGTTGCGACGCACGAGAGGGGGTTAGCGTCACCAGAGCCTTGCCCGACCGCCTTTGTCTCCCAAGTGCCGATGTTTTCACACTCCGAACCGAGTAACTCATGTAAGGCCGAGTCGTCTACCCAGGGAGGGTCCCAGGAGCAGTTCAGATGTTGGTCACTGAAAGCGGCATTGGGATTGAGGTCGCCGGGGTTTTGTAGCGCAGTGCGCTAACCACCGCGCCGCTGCTGCTCACCACTGGCAGACACCAAAGACAAAGATCCCCCGTGTAGCCTTGACAGACTGTTGGAGCAAGTGCTGTTCGTGAGCACATATGAAAGGCCGGCACGGCACACGAGGGGCTGAGTGGCGAACACCACGCCCGACCGCCTTTGTCTCCCCGGTGGCGATATTTTTACACGCCGTACCAGGTACTAATTTGAGGCTGAGTCGACCTAGTGGGGGGGGGGAGGCCCAGAACCGATTCAGATAATCATTACCGGTGGTGTTTGTGGCCGTGAGCAGGAATCGAACTCGAGTCTGCCGCCGGGTTTGTAGCGCAGCGCGCTAACCGCTGCACCACCGCTCCCCGACACATGCACACGCAAACACGCACGTGCGCGCTCGCGAGCCCGCAAGTCAGCTTGCATCTTTGTGCTCCTGCAGGACGCCTCTATCTATTAGGCAACTACCCCCGGGTGCTGCCAGAGCCGACCCGTTAACTGATAGCGGCCTCTGCGCATCAAGCTCTGTGTCTCAGTGCTACGGGACAACCAATTTAAAATGGTTTGATCACTTGGAGGTGGTTGACCGGTTCAACGGTCGGAGCACCCAGCCGCTGACCCACCGATATTCTGGATTCGAATGCGGTCAGGCACCCGTGATTTAAACCTGATTTATCTTGCGTAGTGCGTTGATGGTGTCAGCCTATAGACACCAGTGACTGCGTGAAAATAAACCGATCAAATTGTATCTTTCTTTCTTGTTGTGGTTGTTGCTGAATTTGGCTGTGAGAAATTAAACATCGCTTTCGAGTGCCGTGCGACGAACGTTGCCTATCGCAAGGCGCGTTTGGATAAGCGCAGTGCATCCTCAATGTGTGGATAAGAGGCCACTTCAGAGCGATCACAGAAGTCGGTCTGCGATACCCTCATTATGCGTGACCTCCGTCGCACGGACTGAGACGATGCCAAAAAAATGTCACAATGGGCTTTACATTTACTTTAACTACTGGCACGCTAAATGTTGACCTAATTAACACATTCAATTGAATTACTGATTGGACTGCTAATTCATCTAGGGAACCCCCCACGGGCCTCACAAATCCCATGGGAATGAAAATAAAGTAACAACAACAGAAAATGCGAATGTGCGGGAATAGAAATGATGGCCACGAGAACGAACGGGAAGCGGATTTAATAATTTAGCAGCTCACGAGATGGGATGGGAATTGAGCCCAAGGACACGGGCAAAGGGTGTCGTTACCATCATCAATCAACCATGATCAATCAACTGCTGGATGAAGGCATGCGCGAGCCGTTGCCACCTCTGCGTGACTCTGCGATGTACCACTCCGCCCTGTGCCTGCTCAATGAGCTCGTTTCATTGCGGGAGGAAACCATTCCTGGCGGAGTGGGGATGGGACAGGAATGGAATGTCTGTCAAGGTCACGGGCAGGGATGGGATTGTACAATTCCTAACGGGACGGCTAAGAATTTTAATTGAATTCCCGTGTCTCTCGTGAGGACCATTCTGGTATTACTGCTTGGCTCTTAAGTTAATACAGAATGACGGACAAACACCTCTCTATTCGCACAGTAGTATCAGTGGGGGGGGGGGGGGGGGGTAAGATGACAATGAATTAAAAACCAAAAACACATTTCAACCATTCCTTAATGGTATAATTATTTGTCGAGAAATGAATCTCCACGATTCTCACGGCGTCTGGCGGTCGTCATTCAGCAGCGGATTGACGCGGAGGGTCGCAGAGATTCACCACGCACGCGTGTTACAGGACCACGTTGCGTTAACCACTGCACGCAGTCCCTTTAAATCATCTCTCGGCACCACGGTGGATATGAGATGTTAATTACA